ATAAATAAATGAATGAATGAGATTTCACACAAGATCTACATTTGACCATTGCTTGATTCTAAGATCACACACTCTCACAATTTTCTAACACCACTTTAAACTACACTAAGAAGCTTACAGTCACTGAACAAAATTGATGATGAATTCATTACACCTCATGTAAAAGCAAGAGGTTCCTCAAATCAAATCAGAATCAAGAGAAAAGAAATACAAGATGACACATTTCTAACAAATAAAAGTAACATTATGGTGGCTTAACTCAATGCTAAATCAACTTTGTTATGTGAGTTTCAAAGGCATTCAATACCATTTTATCAAGCATCAACCTAAAATGAGAACAAGAGATTCAGACCAATGGAGAATTGGCATAAGAAAACATATTAGTTGAAAGCCAATTATGCAATAATTTGGACTGAAAAAGAAATGTCATGGTATTTCCTGAATGATAGATTAGGAAGATAAACGTTTTCGGCATAGAAATTGTATGAAAAATATTACCCTAGGTGTACCATAACTTATCATTGATCAAAAGATGGGAAAGGAGTAATCATCTAGAAATTGTATGAAAAATATTATCCTAGGTGTACCATAACTTATCATTGATCAAAAGATGGGAAAGGAGTATGTTGTGAGATATGTACTTCCTGGCATAGAGATGAGACGAAAAAGAACACAAGCAAACACAGATTGTTTACGTGGTTCGATCCAACTGGATCTACGTCCACGGAAGGGAATCAATCAAATAGTTTACTAAGGCAAAAGAAATGGAGAATACATGACTTATACATAGAGATGAGCCCTCATTTTCCTTCTTTGACCTCTCTCTCAAGCGACACCTTGATACAAGGCCTCAAGATGCTCTCCTCCTCTCTAGCTCTCTAGCTATTCTCTCCTCCTTCGTGGTAGCTTAAGATCTCTTCCCTTGCCGCTCCTAAGTCTCGCACCCTTAAGATCTCTTCCCTCGCTCTCCTAGGCCTAGGCACCACTCCCTCTCTATTTATAGAAGCAAGAGAGTGGTAGATGGGAGGTAGGTAAGCGGTAGGTGAACGGTGGGTGGGATGTGGTAGGTGAGTAGTACCACATTACAAAAGTGCTATTTTACCTTAGTTCATTAATTGAGGGTCAAAATAACAATTCTCCACCTTGACCCTCAATTGAGAAGCTTCGAAGTAAAAATTCCCTCCACCTCAGGGGCCCTCAGCCCTTGCTTGAGTCTGCTAAGTCCAAACAATACATGCACTTAGCAATCACGGTTTTTCCGATAAGAGAGTACAACCTCTTTTTCCTGACTCCTTGTATGATGACACGAGGGTCTTTGGTTACTCTGATGCAGTCATTCTCTGCCTT